CAGGAGCTGCATTGCTGAGTGTTGGCAATATGGGGGGGCTCCATGCACATCAGCTTCAGTGTGATGGGCACCCCCAGGAGTTAGCTGAGGGGCACTGAAGGGTGAGTAGGGACAGGTAGGTCATGAAAGAGAAATGAGAAGTGTGACTCCTGAGGACAATGCCACAGTACAAATCAGGGAGGCAAAACTGTACAGGACTAATGAGTATGAAGCCTAGGGCCTGATTGTCATGAGTCCAGATCCTGGCTTATGTGTGTGACCTTTCAGGCAAGTTACTTAACTCCTCTGGGCCTTGGTCTTGTCATCTGCAAATGGGGTTAATAGCAATGTCTACTATATGGTGTTATGATTAGGATTAGGAAAGTTAATATTTGTAATGCATGTAGATACTGCCTGATACAGAGTAAGCATCAGAGAAGTTTTTTGTTACTAAAATTCTAAACCACTTTTAATTGATCGTGCTGTTGGTGCTTAGTAAAATTCAATATGAATGATGTGATAAAGATTGTCAGTAATTCCCTTCCCTGTTCTTAATTAGTAAAGTAGTTATTGTTTCTAGAATGCTGTTACTTGAAATCAGGGTAACTTTCCTGGCCACGCTGTTCCTAATAGAGAAAAATTGGAAACAGCTTAGATGTCTCTTAGTGGGAGACTGGATAAATTGTGGCATATTCAGAGAGTATGAGAATATGCAGTGTTTAAAATAAATGAGTTAGCTCTACACAAAACAATAGGGATACATTTCTAAAACAATATTAAACATTAAAAAAAGAAGAACCTAGAAGAATGACATCTACAGTATATAAAGTAAATTTTTATTTAAAGTTTAAAAACATACCAAAGGAAGTTAAATCCTATTTTGGATACAAACATAACTAGGAAATGTATAACAAAAACACAAACATGAAGGAACCACAACAATATCAAGACAGTGATGTGCGGAAGGAGGAAAGGGAATAGAATCTGGCAAGAGCAGAAGGGGAGCTTCAGTTTTATCTTAAACATTTCTTCCTCAGGAAAAAAAAAACAATATTTATGAAGCAAATATGGCAAAATGTTAACATCTATTAAATCAGATTGCAGGTTACCTTATTATAATATTCTCTAATAATTTTATTTATATTTGAACATATTGATAATAAAAATAATAATTAACAGAATGCATGCAAATGGCAAACTGTAATTCTAAAGTTTCCACCCATGGATTTTATTACTCCTTCAGTTAATTTAAAAAAAAAAAGAATTTCAAAACATTAACATACCACCAGTTGTGCTGGTGTTTCTTATGGATGGCCCTATTTTATTAGATTTAGGGAGCGTTTTGGCACAAAGGCTGTAAAGAATGCATTTTCATTATTTTAGAAAGAATTTTAATGACCTGTTGTACATCAGTGTTAATAAGAATCATGTAGATAAATCCCTAAGCAGTCATTCTTAGGGCTGGATATTTTGCTCAGCCAAAAATACAAAAGTGCTCTCTTGCCTTCCTGGATAATTTTGCTGTGCAAGGATGTTGTATGTTTTCTGGTGCTTCAAATCAAACAATATGGAACAATATGGAACATATATTTAGGTGTTTTGCTTTGCAGACTTTTGCAGCAGAACAGCAAGTCAACTAATCATTCCTTTGAATCTATGTAATGAATTAAACTTTGAATATGTTATTGATTGGTAGAACAAACAGCACCATGACCCAGATTTTCAGTCTTACATCATTGAGATGTGGCTGGTATGCTCCGAGTTTGGCAACTGTCTGTTCATTGTGTAAATTAACTGGGACAATGACCTGTAACTATAGAATTGCAGCTTTGTAGTTAAATATGCCATCGACCTTTTTATGTCCTATGTATAGTATGTCATGTGTAAAATGGTCACCAAATTAATTGTGTCAGATGTTGTCTACATTCTAACTGGAAAACAATTTTCATTGTCCGGAACATGAATGTTTATAGTAGATATATTTTAAGTACCTCAATTTCGATCTACTTAGCATTGCTGAGATTATTAAACATGAAATTTATTCATACATTTTGTATTAGTTATTGACCACTTACTATGTATTTTTGGATCCTAGAGATAAAGTGATGACCAAGGTAATGCTACTGTCTTCAAATTGTTAATAATCTAATGAGTAATAGGGTCAAGAAAACAGGTAATTATAATACAGTGAGATTAGTATTGTATGTGGGTAAGCAAAGGGTGTTAAAGAAGCATATTACAGGGAAATCCAGCCCTAGGAAGACCAAGGAAGGCTCCCTGGTGTTAGTGTCTATGCTCATCTTTCATTTGGAGACTGGAAGAAAAACAGTCCAAGCAGAGGAATCAGCACAGGGAAAAGCCCAGAGACAAGACAAGGAAAAGCATACTTCAGGCCAGATGTTCAGGTGTTTCTTTGGTATGAAGAGCATTCACTACTTTGTGTTATATCTGAAATTCCTAGCGCAGGTCATCCTGAGGATAACCACTGGACATCAACCATTTGAAAGTCCTAAGTTTGATCTTCAGCCCAATGCCCAGGCTCCACCCAAAGCCAACTACACTATAATTTTGACTGTCTGGTCCCAAGCATTGAGATTTTAAAAAATCTCTCAAGAAGGGGCGCCTGGGTGGCTCAGTGGGTTAAAGCCTCTGCCTTCAGCTCAGGTCATGATCCCAGGGTCCTGGGATCCAGCCCCGCATCGGGCTCTCTGCTCGCAGCAGGGAGCCTGCTTCCCCCTCTCTCTCTGCCTGCCTCTCTGCCTACTTGTGATCTCTCTCTCCCTGTCAAATAAATAGATAAAATCTTTAAAAAAAAATCTCTCAAGAAGATGGGAATATTCAATCAGGTGGCAAATCACGAATTTACAAGGTAAATCTTGAGAGGTGTGTTGATTGATCAAATGTGTAGGCAGATAAAAAAGGCAGAAATGCTGTGCAAGGGTGCTGTCAAAATGAGCTGGCTATAACAAAATGACCTTGGGGATCGCATCCACTGGCTATGAATCTCAGTGCAAAACACAAGAAATGTGACTCATATACTAGAGCTGACTCTTGAGGTACTCAAAGAAATAGCACTTCACACTTTTTTTCAGCTCAATTATTTGTCCATTCCAAAACACTTCACTAATCCTTATTATATGTCAGTATGCTTAGGGCATTGGATACATATATGAGTAGGACATTGATGTCTTATCAACCCCAAACTCTCAGTTTTGTGAAGAGAAAATTTCTAAGTAGTCACAATCATGTGAAAGGATACACATTGCCAAGGGGGCAGTGACAGCAGACAAAATGGCAGAGAATAGCTAAATTTTGTAGGATCAACAGGAATTAACAATTCACCAAGTCAGAAAGATTTTTAGTGTACTTGGAGCAAATGTTGTGAGAAGTGTGGCTCCCAAAATGAGGCTTGAAAACTGGGTTAGCTACCAAAGGTCCAGAGACCTCCTTCTCCTTGTTGCCAACCAGGCACAGCCCAGACTCCGACATTCTCTATGTAGCTGGAAAGATTTGTTTTACAAGTTTATGTAAGGTTGAAAAGGTCTTCACCTCATATCATGGTCACTCGAATAAGACCAGTGGTAGAAATTAGGAGTTCAAAGTCCTGAGAGTGGCTCAGACAGGCAAGGATGTGGAGTTTGTTGAGGTTCTTGAGAACCAGCTTAAGCACAGCTAAAATACTAGAAGTGTGTGTCACTGGGGAAGCCAACCTCTAAGATAACCTCCAATGATCTCTGCCTCCTGAGAGTCACACCCTTACAAAATTCTCTTCCTTGAATATAGGTTGAACTTGTTGACCCTCCTTTAAAGAAGAGAATAGAGGAGAAGTCCCATTTCTGATGATAAGTTATTAAAAAAAAAACATGTACTTTTCCTCTCCCCTGCACTTTGTCTCCCTTGCCCCCAGTGCTCCTCCTGGGTGAAATCAACTGCCATGTCTTCAGGCAGGCCCTTGAGGTAAGGACTGAGGCCTGCTAATAGCCATGCTGAGTGAGTTTAGAAGGAGATCCCTCCCCAGTCAGACCTTCAGATGCGACTATATCCATGGATGACAACTTGACTGCAGCTTATTGAGACAGCTTGAATCAGAGACACTCGGTTAAGCTGTGTCCAGACTCTTGACCCACAAAACAAGGAGGTAATAGTTGCTTATTGTTTTAAGCAGCAGTGTTTTAGGATAATTTGTTGTGCAGCAATCATAATGGATACAGTCACTATTCACTCAGTTTCTGCAGATCCCATACTTCTTTGAAGACCTCACAGCTTGACTCCAGAGAGCTGTTATTATTAACAATTATGATTTCCCCTTGAGAAAATAGATTTCTTTCTGGCTTGAAAGATGTAAAAATACAGATGAAAAGCTAAGGGATTCAAAATCTGTTCTGATGTTATAAACTTAAGAGGCAAGATGGTGAAGATTATGGTTGGGGGCAATATTCAAACCATGATCCTATGGCTCTTGTCCATCCGAGACCCTCTATTTTAATTCTTTCCCATCACCCACACCCCACCAGAATATAATGTTCAAAGCATGTAATGTTCAAAGCTGGGCAAGCACTCAGAATGGCATCTGGGAGTCTAACTGCAGATGTGCTGTCAAGCATAGGCCTTTGTCCATTGGCCTACCCTCATTTTGTTTCTTTCTATTTTACCACAATACTGAAGTTTAGAATGATTTGGACTTTGTGTGTGTTTATGCAGCCTTTCTGGTATACCTGTCCTTTTATTTTTACATTATATGACTTTTCTTCATCAGATGTTCATGAGAAAAATGCCTTTCATGGTGAACTAAAAACCTACTTAGTCTTATTCTGGTATAAAAACCAATTTGAAAGCCAAAGTCTACAATGAAGACTATTAGCTAAGTAAAAACATGTCAATCTTTGACACAATTCATTTGTTTAATTGAACATTTGTTAAGGAACAAGAAAAATATAGAGTACAACAATAATTTAGAATCCTTCTAAAATACAGTTTATATTTCAGAACCTAACCCATTTCTTCTCACCTTTATGACACAGGAGAAGAAAACCTCCTGGCAATTTTACGACGAAGATGGTGGAAATATATGATCCTGGGACTCATCGACCTGGAAGCAAATTATCTGGTGGTCAAGGCTTACCAGTACACGACTCTGACCAGTATTCAGGTACTGGAGGATCTTATGTCTTTCTCACCCTCCTCAGTTTCCAGATGTAGTTTGCTTTCAGTTTAGTCACCTGGAAATCTAAATACTTCTCTAAAGGTTTTGCAAGAGGGAAATTGGGTATTTAAAAATTAACTTGTGCATTATTTCCATGTCTTATTAATTTTTCTTAATTCAAATGTAATTGGATATCTTTTTCCTCTTTGTTCTTATTAGACTGTAACTATTGAAAATGTAGGAAAATATTTTCTAGCTATGAATACTACCAACTAATCTTATGTCAGTAGGAGAGTTATTAATAGGCATAAAAACAGAGCCATTTTAAACACAACTTAAAACATCTTAGAACACGTTAATGGACTTTGATTAAGTAATCAGTGCTTAATATTCTTTTCTTTTAGCTTTCTTTAATGAGGAGATTTTGCAACCGGAAGGGACAGAATCTTTCCTAAAAGAACAAGATACAAATTCTTAAATAGTGTTATTCACGAAGATAGCCACTCTGTCCTCCCTTCCTCCCTCTCCTTTTCTTTTAGGCACATGGGTGTGTGTACACACACACACACACACACACACACACAAACACAATTGCAAGTTTAAACTTAGGTTCTCACAACTTTCACCAGACACCATTTCCATTCTTCATTATACCATAAATGATACACTTGACCATTTTTTTCACCGTCATTTATGGCCATATTATGAATTTTATAGCATTCCAAGGCTCTGGGATGAAAACAAAATATTACTCACGTATGTTATATCTTACTTAGACTTGATACCACAACAACATTCCTGCCATTCAAATAATTTACTTGGAAAAACAATAACAAAAATGCAGACTCAAGCAAGCAGACCAACCACCTAAACATATTTAGATTGTGTAGATTGAATGGGAAGTTGTCTAAGCTGGAATGAGATGGGGCTGCAGGCTTCCTCCTGCATGCCCAGTGAGACAGAAAGGATGCTTGTCTACTTAAACCCATTGAAAAGAAGTCCAGAGCCCTTATACTAATTGGACCACAATGACAGCAGGGGAATGCTGTGAGCTAATTGGCTTAAAGTTGGACTTCCCAACCCAATACAGGATGAGATTTCTGATTGTCTCAGACTCATGTTTTTCAGGAGTACTACTGGCATTTTGGGTGGGGCAATTTTTCATGATTTGGGTCCCTTTCCTACTTTATTGGTCATTTCACATTCTTAGCTTCTGTCCACTAAAAGCTAATAGCGTCTTTTTCAGCCTTATAACAACTAAAAGTGTCCCTGTGGATTTCCAAATGCCCTCTGGCAGGGGAGTACCATCTCTGCTTTGAGGGTTACTGGCTCACCAGTCAACACTCACTCATGGCGTCAGAATGGGATCAATCCCACTAATCACATGTCACCCACTGCAGGAGGAGAAAGGTGAATAAATGATGGGAAATCAGCTACATGCCCCCATACTCAGCTTCACTCCCACTCACTTCAATGAGACCCACAACAGAAATAGGTATCTCTCTTCTGTGCTCCCATGGCACTTTATTTGTTAGCTCTGTCTACAGTCTGTCTTACTGAAGAATGATGTTTGAATATTCCTACCTACTCCACCCAACTGTGAGTTCTTTCATAGCAAGGGTAATTTCTTGTTCACCTCCGAATTTCTAGTACCTACTAGAAAACCCAGCACATGCCAGGTACTCAATAAATGTTTAAAGAAGTTAATTCAATTGCATTGATTTCCACTGTTTGGGGGCACAGAAATTCCCAGCAGTTCTCTACCTAAATGTAGAGGCCTCCAGAATGTCTTTACAGATAGGGCAGGAGAAGGAAGAGACAAATGTTAGCTTTGTGGCAGAGCTGAGCCCATTAGCCCAGAGCCAAAAACTGTAAGTGAGCCTGGGGAGAATGAAGAGGAGATGTTCTTCTTTGAAAGTATAGTTGGCTTCTGTGGGGTTTTTGTTTGTTTGTTTGTTTTAAACCATTGTAAAGTCACAACTTTCTTAAGTTCTATGGAGCTTTTTTGAAAAAAAATTTTTTTTCAATTTTCCTTTCTCTTTCTTTCTTTTCGTTTTGGAACAGTGGCAATTTATTCTTAACAACTGGTCTCATGGTCTTTAGGTGTTTAGTTCAACCCATGTCGTACCCCACCATCCTGATCCATCCTGCTACCTCTCTCAAATTCGTTCTTCAGTGCCTATTTTAATGTTCCATTCTATGAAAAGTTTATCTTAATTCTTTAGCGAGAAAGAAAAATAATAATTCTACTGGAATATCAATTGGTCTTCATTGTAATTTACTGAGCAAGGAATAGTGAAAAGTAAAAAAGCAAGTTGAATCTAACAATTTTAGAATGACTTTGCCATGTACAACAAATAAACCTATTAAATAATAATAAATGGTCAGAACAGAAGGCATTTGTTCTGGAACCATGTCTGTACAGCTATTTAGTAATTTAATTTTGTTTACTCATTGGAAATCAGTAGAACTAACAAGTGCTGATAATTTTTCCTTATTTCTATAAATATTAATTCAGCTTTTAATATGTGTTTAGCTTTTACTCATATTAATCAATAAGGAAAATATATTAATTAAGCCTCTGAGAAATGAGCTAGTTATTGCAAGTGACATAAAGAGAAATGAATAAGCCTTGCCCTCCAGAAACATATGAATTGATAAAGAGCATAAGAGGCAAAAATCTATCAATAGCAATGCCAAGTACCGCAAGAGAACAGATGCCTAAGTGCTACAGTTTCCAAAGAAGGCAGAGATGATGTTTATTTCCAAAGACCAAGAAAGTACCCATTCATATGAGTCTATAAGATTAGATAAAATGGAGAGAAGATAAAATGTGGGTATAGATTTGCACATGGGATGAAGAGCATGACAGAAGCGTGGGGGCAGGAAACCCAATGAATATGATTGGGGAGCAGTTATTCCAGTTTGGTTCATCCAGTCACTAAAAAAATAATTATTTAATAATTCTATGTTCAAGACATTTTATTAAGTGGTGAATAAAGTTGCAAGCAAAAATAGATACAAGCTGTATTCTCATGGAACTTTTAGTCAAATAGGGAAAGCAGCATTTGGTCAAATAATCAAATGAATAGATGTATAGTTTTAATGAAGGATAAGCATTCTAAAGGAAAGCAACACAGTTCTATGAGAATGGCTGTCAAACCAACCTGACTTCAACTGGCAAGTTGGGGAAGGTTTTCCCCTGAAGAATTGATAGTGGAAATGAAGTCTGAAAGAGTAGTGGAAGAAATAGATGTATTCCCGGAAACTTGAAAACTACCAAGACTGAAACAGGAAGAAATAGACAATCTGAACAGACCCCCCAGCCAATAAGGAAATTGAAGCAGTAATCAAAAATCTCCCAACAAACAAGAGCCCAGGGCCAGATGGCTTCCCAGGGGAATTCTCCCAAATATTTAAAGAAGAAATAATACCTATTCTATTGAAGCTGTTTCAAAAAAAAAAAAAAAAATAGAAATAGAAGGAAAAATTCCAAATTCATTCTATGAAGCCAGCATTACCCTGATCCCAAAATGAGACAAAGACCCCATTAAAAAGGAGAATTACAGACCAATATACCTGATGAGCATGGATGCCAAAATACTCAATAAGATCCTAGCCAATAGGATCCAACAGGGCACTAAAAGGATCATTCACCACTACCAGGTGGGATTTATTCCTGGGATGCAAGGGTGGTTCAACATTCAGAAATCAATGAACGTGATAGAGTACATTAATAAAAGAAAATATAAGAACCATATAATCTTTTCAATTGATGCAGAAAAAGCATTTGATAAAATAAAAGCATCCTTTTCTGATTCAAACTCTTCAAAGTATAGGGATAGAGGGACCATACCTCAACATCATAAAAACATCTATGAAAAGCCCACAGTGAATATCATTCTCAATGGGGAAAAACTGAGAGCTTTTACTTTAAGGTCAGGAGACAACAGCAATGCCAACTATCACCATTATTGTTCAACATAGTACTAGAAGTCCTAGCCTCAGCAATCAGACAGCAAAAAGAAATAAAAGGCATTCAGACTGGCAAAGAAGTCAAACTCTCTCTCATTGCAAATGACATGATACTCCATCCACAAATTACTAGAACTCATACAACAATTCAGCAATGTGGCAGGATACAAAATCAATGCACAGAAATCAGTTGCATTTCTATATACTAACAATGTAACTAAAGAAAGAGAAATTAAGGAATTGATTCCATTTGTAATAGCACCAAAAACCATAAGATACCTAGGAATAAACCTAACCAAAGAGGTAAAGGAGCTATATTCTAGAAACTACAGAATACTTTGAAAGAAATTGAGGAAGACACAAAAAGATGGAAAAACATTCCATGCTCATGGATTGGAAGAATAAAGATTGTTAAACTATCTATGCTGCCCAGAGCAATCTACACTTTCAATGCAATCCCTATCAAAATACCATTGACATTTTTCACAGAGCTGGAATGAACAATCCTAAAATCTGTATGGAACCAGAAAAGACCCTGAATTGCCAGGGGAGTCCTGAAAAAGAAAACCAAAGCTGGGAGCATCACGATGCCTGACTTCAAGTTCTGTTACAAAGTTGTGATCATCAAGACAGCATGGTATTGGCACAAAAACAGACACACAGATCATTAGAACAGAATAGAGACCCCCAAAATGGACCCTCAACTCTACAGTCAAATAATTTTCAACAAATCAGGAAAGAATATCCAATCAAAAAAAGAGTCTCTTCAATAAATTGGATAGCCACATGCAGAAAAATGAAACTAGACCGTTCTCTTACACAATACACGAAGATAAATTCAAAATGGATGAAAGACCTCAATGTAAAATAGGAATTCATTCAAATCCTGGAGGAGAACATAGGCAGTAACCTCTTTGATGTCAGCCACAGCAACTTCTTTCAAGACACATCTTTAAAAGTAAAACTGAACTTTTGGGACTTCATCATGTTAAAATGCTTCTGTACAGCAAAGGAAAGAGTCAACAAAACTA